TTAAGTTCTAATTATTTAAATCAGTTGACTCAGTTCTGTTGAGTTGACAAAATTAAAAAGCCTTTTGCCCGTTTTGGAAGTGGGTGCTTCTCGTGATCGGGGATTTTATATAATATAACATGTAATACTGATCAAAAGAATAAATATTAGTTTATTAGTTAAGTAAAAAATCACATTTTAAATTTAAATTAAATGTTCTTGTACTATCGTCATATACTCATATTGTGCTAAATCCTATAAAGATTATATATCTTACGAAAAAAAATTATGTAATACAATATATTTTTTAGCGATCTCTAATTATTTTGTTTTTCCTTTGGTAAGCATACGAACATTTTAATCTACTACCTATTTCAAATTAACTTATTGGTACAATATCAAAAATTGTGTACATTGATTATAATTACCTACATAATATATTATGTTATTGATTCTACGTAAGTATTTTAAGGTATTTATTAGGTTAAATTGAGATAGGTACGCCGTCAATGGTTTATAAATCATGATAAACGCTAACAACTTTGGCAAATTTATAATTTATTGAAGAACAAGCAACAAAATAAATGTGTATCTATATTCYTTACAGCAGTGTGTAGTTGAATTTGAAATTGTTTATGAACAAAATTGAATAAAATATCATAAACCAGTTCAATTGTTAATTTGTGTTTTTTAATGGTATTTTACAATTCAAATTGGAATACACAAATTTACTGCTCAACATAAATAGATACGTTAAAACAGTTATGCCATAATAATAAAATAACATGTTTGCCCTTAAAACTTTTAAATACATAAAAAAGCTATAATATTTTATAAATTGAAAACAAATAATATTATATAAAAATAATATATTTGTATCTACGTCTTTTTAAAGATTGATAATATGTAAAATATAACAACTCTAATTATACGTTTTTGATTAGATTTATGATTGAATAAAAAATAAGTAATTATTTTTATCATTGAAAATGTTTAGTAAATGTTACACAGTAATTATAAAACTAAGTGTCAAACAATTATAGTAACTGCAGCTATTAGTAAAAAATGTATGTTACATAATTTTACATTACTGTATCATCTTGTATTTTATTTTTTTAAATATMAATTTTAAAAGGGTTTTAAATTTAATCGAAAACTGCAGATTTTCAAATAAAATATATAAAAAATATTGATGCAATTAAGTGTCAAATATAAAAGTTATATTGCAAATTATAAGATTCACTGTGCACTTGTTCGACACGATAGGGTATTTTGTTGCTTTTATAAATAACAATAAAACCTTTTGTTTTTGTGATATAAAAATCGCAATAACACAAACACTACAGTGCACACAGATTAAATCTATATACAATTCGGTGGTAATAATATTTTATTTACGAGTTCAGTGTTTTATGATTCTAGTATATTTATTTTGTCAAAATGGTCGGCCTCAGTGTTCATCTCAGTGGGACTCAAAGCGATATTTCATAAGGCAATAACAATATTATAATAATATATAATTTATTTTTTGTTATTTGATTACTGGAATATATTAAAATGAAAAATCTTTTCATAAAAACCMCGTCCTAATTATTATTATTTAACAACGTGACACGTCCATTGAGAAAAACCGGCATTATAGATGGACTGTGAATTATAATGGCGTTGTGTATGTAAATATAATTTAATAATTAATAATAAATCACGATGCAGACGATGCAGTAAACGGTCGATATTCGTCCGCTGCACCATATGTATATAATATATTGTTTATCACTCGGCTGGAGGTTATACAATAATGTCTTAGACCACAATCGTTTAAATACACCCACTGCCTCGGCAATTGCTGTTATTCATCTGCACACGTCGGTCAAGTCGAGTTCAGCGATTCAACTTTACTGCATCCCGTACCCAAGGCGATTCACACTGCACCGCACGATGGCTTTTCATGTGCTTTTCGCTACCACAGTTCTGTGTCTAACAGCACTGTTCATTTCTGGTGACGCCTGTAAGTACAGACTATGGTATTATTAATAATTTCCATTATAGTTATTTTTTTTTATTATTATTATTATTAAAATATTCACGTCATTAGGTACGGCTTATAATACTTAAGACGTATAATAATAATTTATAATAATCAACGACAGTGGTCTTGTGTGAAAATCACGACTCGTCTGCAGTTAAATTATACTTACGCGTTTTTGCACGAAATGATATATCGACATTATTAATTTTTACTCGACCCGTTTACGATTATTATAACACTTTCGAGGCTTTAGTCGAAATCTCTACAATAACCGATTTGTCATGGTATGATGTTGAACAAAGTTAGATTTTTTTTACTTATGACTAASACTTACGTCTTAAGATAGTTAAAATAAWATACGACCATTATTTTTATCATTGTAAATAGAGGTTATAGAAATTAATATGATAGCATTTCGGATTTTGTTTAACAATTAACTATTTTTACTATTTTTTGAAGGAAAATAAAATATTTTGTACATTACGAATCTTTGGCAATATTGTAAAATAATTAAATTTTTTCTAATGTTTTATTAGAATATTATTACTAACTATTATTTACTTTTGAATAAAAATAAAATTATAATATTAAATATTTATTTAATTATTTAATTTAATTTAATTATTTATTAGGTAAATATAAATTTGGAATGAAATTAAAATTAATTTTTGCTATATTATAATTTACATTACATATTTTAAGCACATAATAGGTATTTTTCGAGTCTTAAAATTATTTCCTCTGTGAAATAGTCAACTAGTTAAAAAATATGAAGAAAAAAATTTGAATATTAAAAAAACGTACTTTAGTAATTTTTTTT